TGGTTGTTGTTGTTGTTTGACTTGTCTTGTGGTTGTTGTTGTTGTTTGACTTGTCTTGTGGTTGTTGTTGTTGTTGTTTGACTTGTCTTGTGGTTGTTGTTGTTGTTTGACTTGTCTTGTGGTTGTTGTTGTTTGACTTGTCTTGTGGTTGTTGTTGTTGTTGTTTGACTTGTCTTGTGGTTGTTGTTGTTGTTTGACTTGTCTTGTGGTTGTTGTTGTTGTTTGTCTTGTGGTTGTTGTTGTTGTTTGACTTGTCTTGTGGTTGTTGTTGTTGTTTGACTTGTCTTGTGGTTGTTGTTGTTTGACTTGTCTTGTGGTTGTTGTTGTTTGTCTTGTCTTGTGGTTGTTGTTGTTGTTTGTCTTTTCTTGTGGTTGTTGTTGTTGTTGTTTGACTTGTCTTGTGGTTGTTGTTGTTTGTCTTGTCTTGTGGTTGTTGTTGTTTGACTTGTCTTGTGGTTGTTGTTGTTTGACTTGTCTTCTGGTTGTTGTTGTTTGACTTGTCTTGTGGTTGTTGTTGTTTGACTTGTCTTGTGGTTGTTGTTTGACTTGTCTTGTCTTGTGGTTGTTGTTTGACTTGTCTTGTGGTTGTTGTTGTTGTTTGTCTTGTGGCTGTTGTTGTTGTTTGACTTGTCTTGTGGCTGTTGTTGTTGTTTGATTTGTCTTGTGGTTGTTGTTTGACTTGTCTTGTGGTTGTTGTTGTTGACTTGTCTTGTGGTTGTGGTTGTTGTTGTTTGAATTGCATCCCACTGGGATTTTTTCACAGCGTTAGCGAACGCTGTTTTTTTTCTGTAAGTCTTTGCAGTTTTTCCCTGGGTTTTTCTGTTTGCGCATAGTCACTTTAAGATGTTTTCTTGTTCATGTTTTTGTTTGTTGCGGTTGCACCCGAGTCAAGAGCCGAATGGCTCACGGGGCTACACCTAATTAATGAAAATGAAAGCGAATCAGGCGATTTGCTGGGATTGTGAAGAAAGTCCTCGTCGAGGGCAGTGCAGGAGGCAGCAGTGTCATCACTGTGGCCCTGTGGGGTGCGACAAGACCCGAGGGTTAATGTGATCGCGTCAACTTTGTCTCTCTGTGGTGGCTTCCTTCACAACTCACGGGCGTACAGTGCGACCATTTAAATTTGTCGCGCCCGACATCGTGACGTCACGGCGGGGGTTGCCGTTGCTAGGTGACGTCACGGCGGGGGTTGCCGTTGCTAGGTGACGTCACGGGGGGTTGCCGTTGCTAGGTGACGTCACGGCGGGGGTTGCCGTTGCTACGTGACGTCACCGTTGCAAGGTGTTGGGGTGGGTGGGGGGCGATGTCAGTCCAGAGGTTTTACCTCTGTACGTGTCAGTGATTCAATGGGATTTTTTTATTTTAGATTTGATTAAAAAAAACGATGGAAAAATATTTCTACATATGCCATGAGGAAATATGTAAGCCAAAAAATTGCGATAATTGTGTAATATGCAATAAAGATGTAAATAATTGGCACATTTTTTAAAGTATTTATTTATGCGTACGCTTTGTCGTTTGTTTACATTTTAAGAATATCGATTAAGGATATTATTAGTATCCTCAAATAGCGGTTTAAAATACAGCAATTACAGTACAGTATCCATAATAGAGGTGTTTTGGGTTAGCTGAACACGTGGTATGCGGGTGACGTCATCGGGCAGAAGCGCGCGGTGACGTCACCGCCACGTGCTTTGCTCGGCCGCGTGCCAGCCAGGAAAACTTGTTTTTATTATAAATGTTTTACTCAACTAAGGTTCGAGATTAGATTATATATATAAATGTTCTACTGAACTAAGGTTTTAGATTAGGTTTTATATTTATTTATATATAAATGTTCTACTGAACTAAGGTTTGAGATTATATATTTTTAAATATATATAAATGTTCTACTGAACTAAGGTTTGAGATTAGGTTTTTTAAATATATATAAATGTTCTACTGAACTAAGGTTTAAGATTAGGTTTTTAGTTTTATATAAACAGAAGTGTGACGGCTATTCGTGAAAATGCAACGACTTTTACTGAGGTATTGTTCCAGGAGGCAATCTCTAAGGGGCCGTCCATAAATGACGTCACGCACCTGGGGGGGGGGGGGTCAGACATTTGTGACGAGGGGGGAGGTTTGATAAATGTGACGTCACATCAAAATGCGCAACTTTAAATGAATATAGAATTGTTATAACAACACTAATTCTTATAACAACACTCCTACAACATCAGAGTGCAGCGCCACATTAAATACGCACTACAATGACAATAGTTTAAAGCGATTTGAAGCATGTTTTATTTCCAAAACGGAAATATGGTTTTGGGGGGGGGGGGCAGAGCTTTGTGACGTCATATTTGAGGGGGGGGGTCTGACTTTTTGTGACGCCGTGTGACGAGGAGGGGGGGGGGGTCAAAAATCGCGTGACGTCATTTATGGACGGCCCCTAATTTAATCAAGTTCAAGTTCATTTATTAGGTATAGCCCTGTGAGCCATTCAGCTCTTGAATCGGGTGCAACCGCAACAAACAAAAAACAAAAACATGAACCAAAAAACATCTTAAAGTGAATATGTGACTAAGTGCAAACAGAAAATCCAAGAAAAGACAGCAAAAATATTGCAGAAAAAACACCGTACACCAACGCTGTGTGCAAAAATCCCAGTGGGATGCAAGTCAAACAACAACAACCACAAGACAACTTAGATTAAGGCCATCAGTCTAACTCTGTACTACAACAACACAAACATGGCTAAACCAATACACTTTTCGAAATCACCAAAATAAAGCCATGAAGGCAATGAAAAAGCAATCATAGGAACTGACGGAATTTTCACAATAAATGGCATAAACAACATGTACTACCAAAACCCTGCAGCCATAGCTGGCTGCATGAGTCACTCCACAACTTATCCAGATGACGCGGGCTGTCTCTCTCCCCCATGCCAGACCGACTCAGGTGACGAGTCTCTGCTGGACATCTGAGAGAGAGAGAGGAGAGCTGAGAGAGATTAAAAAACACACAAGAGCTTTGCAGCTCATCAGATTCCTCGAGTTTATAAATCAACATTCAGATTTCCCGGCGCGTGGCTGTGCGGCTGTGGCCACGAGGGGGCGCAGCGGCACCGCGTTGGTCATCGCAGCAGAAGCAGCAGCAGCTTTTGGCGCTTTGTCCATCGAACAAAGACGGTGGTCACCGCATCATCATCGTCGTCGTCATCGTCGTTGTCACCGCATAATAATCGTCCTCGTCACCGCGTCATCCTCGTCATCACCACGTCATTGTCGTCACCGCATCATCGACGTCGTCGTCGTCTCCGCATCATCGTCATCGTAGTCACCACGTCGTCGTCATCGTCGTCATCATCGTCGTCATCACCACGTCGTCATCATCGTCGTCGTCACCGTCGTCGTCATCGTCGTCGTCACCACATAATCATCGTCGTCGTCATCGTCACCACGTCGTCATCGTCGTCGTCGCGCGGTGCTTTTCCAGATGCGCTTCTGCGGCCGTCTGGAACGCTCTTCCGATATCGGGAAGCCCACTGGGAGCTGTACACTTTAACATCCAACTTGCTAATGACTTACATTGAGCGACTTGCTCTCACCCTCTTTCTTCTACTTTGCGCGCCTGTCGTGTGTTCCTGTAGTCCATGATCTCGTTGTGTTTTGGGGGGGGGGGTTGGATTGCGTGAAAAGGCATGTGTCAATTTGTTTTTTACCCTTCTATCTGGCAACAAAACTGACACCTTTTTACAAGGAGTCATGTTTGCATAAACCACAATACCTGCAGTCATAACGCAAACAAAAAACACAACTCTGATAATGTATGCACTGTCCTTGAAGTTGATTGGTCCACACCCGAGACAGCTTTCCTTAGAGCCTAGTCTCACATGGGTTGGACCAGATGACGCCATGTGAGACAAGGCTCTAAGGAAAGCTGTCTCGGGTGTGGACCAATCAACTTCAAGGACAGTGCATACATTATCAGAGTTGTGTTTTTTGTTTGCATTACGACTGCAGGTATTGTGGCCTATGCAAACATGACTCTTTGTAAAAAGGTGTCAGTTTTGTTGCCAGATAGAAGGGTAAAAAACCAATTATCCTATTTTTACTGGCAAATGAGGTTCCAATGGTGAATGCATGTGTCGTTAAACCCGCCACCACCCGACACAGCCAGCCAGGAAGGTTTTTGTATCGTTTACCCTTGTTGCTTACTGACCCCGCGCACATATATAGTAGTCTAGTGGAAAGTAGTGTAGTGTATAATATTGTAGTGTATAGTAATGTAGTGTCTAGTAGTGTAGTGTATAATAGTGTATGTTATAGTGTATAGTAGCACAATGTATAGGAGTGTATAGTGTAGTAATGTATAGTTGTGTATAGTAATGTAGTGTATAGTGTCGTGTCTAGTGTAGTGTATATTGTCGTGTATATGAATGTAGTGTATAGTGTAATGCATAGTGTTGTGTATATTGTAGTGTATAGTAATGTAGTGTATAGTGTAATGTATAGTTTAGTGTATTTTGTAGTGTTTATTGTCGTTTATAGTAATGTAGTGTATAGTGTAGTGTATAGTGTAGTTTATAGTAATGTAGTGTATAGTAAAGTAGTGTATAGTGTAGTGTATATTGTAGTGTATAGTAATGTAGTGTATAGTAATGTAGTGGTGGAGTCTGCCGCCAAGGAAAGGGAGATGTCTCAACACGCTGCTGCCGTGATCCCCACCAGGACCTCACCAGGACCTCACCAGGACCTCACCAGGACCTCACCAGGACCTCACCAGGACCTCACCAGGACCTCACCAGGACCTCACCAGGACAAGCGGACTGAGAAACGAATTAATCAGTGGCTACTGGGGTTGTGCTACGGGCACATGAGGCGTTTGTGTGCTTCAGGAATATTTGTAAGTGTAATTCATCTCCGTGGCCCACCTCCGATTGGCCACGGTTGGCTACGCTCGTTTGCGGAATAAGTTCAACACAGTGACATACATGGACGCGTAAAGCACAATAAAATCCCCACCACGTGTTTATTACACATGCAAGGTTGATATGAACATTTTGTGTGAAGCACACAGAGAGAGAGAAAAAAAATGAATTAATTTCAGTTTGCACCGGTGAAGCGTTGCACTCAAACATTCGCAACCCCGCGTGCCAATGGCGGAAATTCCACATTGCTATGGCGGGGGGCCAGTCGCCCCATCCAAGGGACAACCACTGTCCCGTTATAATTACACCACATATTCAAAAAGTACACGCCTTTAAGGGACCGTGGATACATCATTTTTTAAAAATAGCATAAGGCACGCACTTAACACATTTTATTAATATATATTTATATTTTTTGTTGTATCGAGCGACATCGTGCAAATTTGGAGTCGAACCACTGCCGCATAATTTACGGACGAGCGGGAAGACGGCAGCCACGCGACGAGGCAGCACGACCAACAATTTCCCGAGCTCTGCCGTCCCTTACGTGTGTATATATTAACTATATATATTAAGACGTTCTCAGCCAAATTGCACTCATTGTTGACACACGTGGGGGGTGGGTGGAAGCCTGGACTTCCCAGAGAAACCCCAGCTTGTGTGGGTTACACTCGATCCCGGCACGGATGGAACTGAACCCACTTGCTGTACTGCCCGCCGTGCCCGTCGACGAAAGCCGGGAACACGGCGGCGACATCGACGCCCCGCAATGTCAGGGAGGGAGTTTCAAAGTGCACCTAGCCTGGCACAAGCGACTTGGCGACGTCGCCTCCACTTGGCGGAGAACGGCGGTTGTTGTTGTGATCCATCCACCGCCCCCCCGCTGTTTCCAGGGGGGCTGGGTTACAGGCCACACGCGCGGCAGCATAGCCACCAGCGCCCGGATATTGTACGAGGTTACAAACCGTTTGCTAATCCACCGCTAGATGAAGGCCTCCCCGTGCCGTGAGGGTCACAAGCAGCAAAAGAGGTTAACACGACAACGCGATATTTAATCATTCATTTCAATACTGATGAGTTTTTTTTTATGTTTGAGACGAGACACATCGTGGTTAATGCAACAAACGAATAGGAAACCCCAAAAATAATAATAACACCTTTTCCATTGCCACATCCGAACCGAGCCAGCGCGGTACGGGTAGTTTTTCCACAGCCTGTTTTCCGAGCCGAAAAACTAAGCCGTGCTACGCTGCTAGCTTCACGGGCCCAAACTAAAGCTATAAACTATTTTGTAGTTTACCAGGTAAGGCCCGCTGAGCTATGTAGCTCTTTTTCAGAAGCGACCTGGCCACAAATGATTGCTCGACGAAGTGGCTTATCATCATGATCATCGTGATCACGTAGCAGCCAAATACTCCAAACGCGTGATGCTGATTCTAAATGTGGAGGGAACCCAGAGAAAACGCCACGCAACCACGGGGAGAGATAAACACCACAAACTCCAAATATACAGCAGCAGGCATCAGGGTCGGGATCGAACCCACGACCTCCTACAAGCAGAGGCCAGGGGGAGAGCCAGGGTTGACGATGGCGTTCGTTGCGCGCGCAAAATCAGTCGGTAACGCCATGTGTGGAGTCACCCGGTCGTCAACTACAGGGACTCCTCTACTTACGAACGAGTTAGGTTCCAGAGGTCTGTTCGTAAGTCGATTTGTTCGTAAGTCCAACTTTACTCCTGTCTATTTAAAACACGTTGTATGGCGTGTAAACTAAACAAGGGGAAGGGCTTTAAAGTTGTATCATCTCCTGCAGATGTAGATGCCACTGGTTCTTCATGTTCTGTAGATGTAGATGCCACTGGTTCGTCATGTTCTGTAGATGTAGATGCCACTGGTTAGTCATGTTCTGTAGATGTAGATGCCACTGGTTAGTCATGTTCTGTAGATGTAGATGCCACTGGTTCTTCATGTTCTGTAGATGTAGATGTCACTGGTTCTTCATGTTCTGTAGATGTAGATGCCACTGGTTCGTCATGTTCTGTAGATGTAGATGTCACTGGTTCTTCATGTTCTGTAGATGTAGATACCACTGGTTCTTCATGTTCTGCAGATGTAGATGCCACTGGTTCTTCATGTTCTGTAGATGTAGATGCCACTGGTTCTTCATGTTCTGTAGATGTAGATGCCACTGGTTCTTCATGTTCTGTAGATGTAGATGCCACTGGTTCTTCATGTTCTGTAGATGTAGATGCCACTGGTTCTTCATGTTCTGTAGATGTAGATGCCACTGGTTCGTCATGTTCTGTAGATGTAGATGCCACTGGTTCGTCATGTTCTGTAGATGTAGATACCACTGGTTCTTCATGTTCCACAGATGGAGATGCCACCACTGCCATCTATTGTGCGGGTCGGTTGAACGTACGACTCTTGGTCTGAACGTTCAACTGGATATCCGTGAAGGTTTGTTCGTATCTCTGAAAGTTCGTTTCTCTGAAAGTTCGAAAGTCGAGTCCCTGGACGCGCGTCTTGACTCGTTCGATGCACGCGACGTCAGTGAGCACGGCACGGCTCGGCTTACGCAATGGAAAACCCAACCCCCGGTGCCTTTCGTGTGCCACGCCCGGCTGGCAAGGGCTCTGGCACGGCTCGGTTTGCGCAGTGGAAAAGGGATGTTGGCCTCCTCTTCACTCAGAAGTAAATACTGACGTGCGGGAGCGGTTGGCGCGCGTGTGTGAGTCACCAGGGTAATTGAATATGTGTGTAGCCAGGATTAGGCAGCAGCGCGCACACCTCAACATATCGGAAGGGGTTAATTGGTTTTCTAACCGGAGTGTATTACATTTGTTATTATATATTTATTAAAGACGGTCACTGTATCGCGCGCTCTCAGATATGCTTCTACGGCCGTTTTTAACGCTCTACTGTCCGATATTAGTAAGCCGCTGGGAGCTATGCACTTTTAAATCATCATCTAGATTGTTGTGTTTAGTTGTCCTTCCCCCACACCTCCAATTAGCACGGTTGGCTACGTACGGTGCGAAAGAAGTTCAACATACATACGTGCATGTATAAGCAGCGATGGAAATGCAAATGTAGCTGTCCCGGTATGATACCCATTCGTTATACAGCCCACGTTCACTGACACACCTCACTCACAAACACAAAGATCCCCCGTGTAGCCTTAACAGACTGTCGAGGCAAGTGCTGTGAGCGAGCACCGATGAAGGCCGGCAAAGCACACGAGGGGGTGGACGCCCAACCCCTCGCCTGGCCGCCTTTGTCTCCCCTGATGTTCACACACAGCACCAGCTACGCATTTAACGCCAAGGAGGAGTTCCGGGACAAGGTTCAGATGTATTCGTCGTCGATGTCGGCTGCGAGCCGGAATCGAACTCGGGTCGCCGGGCCCGTAGTTGCGGCGCACCGACCACTCACCCATTGCCGTTTGCCCACCTCTGCGGACACACCGCAGCCGTACAGGAATAGGAACCGGTGTGAAATCACCGGGGAACTCGACGGATGTGCCGGCACACCCGTCGGCGAGTCCTCGCTTAACGCGCGGCCGGTGTTCGCCCGAACGACGCGGCCCTTTCATTCGGGAACACTTCCTCGCACAACGCCACCCGCCCCCCGTTGTAACGCGGTTTCTGAGCGGTCAACGACGAACAACCTTCTTAAGGAGTGATACGGTAACGCAGCGGCGACGTACCCTCGGCTCTGTGTCGCGCCTTCTTACCAGAGGTCGCAATCGGGTACCCGATACCCGTACCCTACCCGATACCCGGCTACCTGTAGCCGGCCGGGTACGGGTACCCGTTTGCGACCCTGGTGCAGCCGGGTACGGCGAGAAGAGACAACGTCTTGTCTCTTCTCACAATTCAAGTTCCTAGAATAAACCCACCCGCGCCTGCAACATGGCTTCATCCGAGAGGTCGCAATCGGGTACCCGTACCCTACCCGATACCCGGCCGGGTACGGGTAGCCGGGTATCGGATAGGGTACGGGTACCCGTTTGTGACCCTGGTGCGGCCGGGTACGGGTAAGGAATCAAAACCCGTTTGCGACCTCTGCTTCTTACCGTGCGCGCATAGTCGTAGTAGCGACACGGTACCTCGTCAAACCTGATCGTCATTGCATAACTCACGGGGACGTTGTTTTCGCTTAACGAGGCACTGTTCAGGAACGCGTCTACCGCGTTAAACGAGGACTCGCTGGACTGTGCGTGCACGCGATACCACGTGGCGCTGACGCAGCTGATGTCAGTACGCGTCAACTCGTATTGTTTACCCGTATTCTTGTGCAGGGAAATTGAGTAAAAAGCGTTCGTTTTTTGACCTATTGATTTTGTGTTTCTCCCTTGTGATGGGACTTCGTAGGATGAACGTTGAGTGACCAATAAGGTCTGAATTTGTCTGTAATAAGGTAGGACAATGCATATATTATCAGAGTGTGTTTTTGTTTGCATTCTGACCACAAGCATTGTGGTTAATGTAGGCGTGATTACTCGTAACAGGTTTCAGTTTGGTGTTTTAACATCTTAACAGCTGTTTTGTTGCCAGAAAAAAGGGGAAAAACCTATGATCATATTTTGGTACTGGCAACGGAGATCCCATGAGGGTCGGCACTGATAAGGGGTTGACAGGTATGTGATTACGCAACAACACCTTTTGAGATCTTGCACGACGACGACAAAATGAAGGCAACATTCGATTACCTCTGACAAAATAATGAAAAAATACCAACAACTAGTCTTAAGCACTGAGTTCCACCACCAAAGTGACCACGTACAATATGCGTACAGTATGTGCGCAGCCCGTTTGTCAATCCACTGCTAGATGAGGGACCTGACCACGCCGTACCTGAACTGGGCACCCCCCCCCCCCCAACTTCACCAAACCCACGCTGACCGGCGCGGTGAGGTATGGTCAATCCCCCCTATTGACTCACACGGCGTGGAGAGACCTTCATCCAACGTTAGGCTGACTAAAGGGCCGTGAAGGATTATCTTATTCTAAAATTCTGGCATTCATTACGCTTTTCAATGACACCACATTTGTCACCCATTCTAATTACTGTATGTGTACAAGACAAAGACACCCCGAGTAGGCACAACAGACTGTGGGGCCAAGTGCTGTGAGCGAGCGGCACCTTGGAAGGCCGGCACAGTACTTGAGGTGGGTGGCCAGCACCACGCCCGGCCGCCATTATCTCCCTTGTGGCGATGTCTACAACACGGCAGCAGGTACTCATTTGAGACCGAGTTGACCTATGGGAGGCCCAAGAACCCGTTCAGATAATCGTCTCGGGTTTGCAGCACACTGCGCGCCAGCCCCTACATTCCCGCTACCCACGTAAGTCTGTGTACAGACACGCGCACACACAGAGGGATGTATGGACGGATGTACCTGCTCATCTACGGTGCTTACTCAATCTCATTGCCCCAAACTCTCGGTTTGCATTGCTCCTCAAAATACTTTTTCGACGCCACATTTTCAATGATACTGCTCAAGGTCACCGCACCAGCTGGTGTTACTCGTTAGAAATCTCATCGCAGCCCGCTAGTCCTCGCGAGCGACTTGCTCCTCCGCGGAAGGTTTCTCCTCCAGATCTTCCGCACTGTCCAGTGATCGGGAGAAAGAATAACCGTAATTCTGTCCCTTGGCCGAGGGTAACCTGCCAAACCCATCTTTGGATTGAAAATAAACCCCTTCCTTTGCGAAGCGGGATGGCCGCGCCTTGATCTTGGAGATCATGTCCATGTAGGACTGCTTGGAGTTGGACACGACTGCCGAGAAGTTCTCGTGTGGCCTGTACTTGTCAAAGGTTGGCGTTCGTGGCAGCAACGGTGAACCCACGGCGTTGGAAGCCAGCGCCGGCGGAATCGTATCCGGCGTCTTTTGCGCCACCGCCGTCGCCGCCGTCAAGATGGTGGCCGCCGGAGGAGTAATGACGATCGGTGGCGGCCGCTTGCGAATCTCCACCTCCTCCTTGATGGGAGGGAGGAATTTGTAAAGCTGCCAATGCCTCTGGCGTGGGGGGCGGTCCCTTGAACTCCTTGGAAGGGGCAGGGGATTCGGAGAGGGGCCGATGCTCCTAAGCCAGTCCGGGAGATTCTCCAGGTCGTCCTCTGGGCCTTCGAAGAACCGCCCGGCACACGGCTTGCCCCCGGCGAACAGGGCGCTCCAAATGCCGCGTCCGCCGCACCCGTCTGCATCCGCTTCCTGCCCGACGGCGTCGTGCACGAAGAGAAAGGGGTTCGTGCCGTCGTCGCGTGGTGCCACGTGGCCTCCGGGGGCAGGGCCGACAATCGGCACATGCGCAAACGTGCCGTGAACGTCGTCGTAGTCAGGTGACCCGCTGTCTATGAAATAGTCCACCCACTGCGGGCTCGAGACTCCACTGGTCGAGCCGCTGTCGCCTCGGGGTGCCGCGTCTCCGTGAGCGGGCGACGCGCCGGGGGCATCCGCCCCATTCGCTTTGGGCCCCTGCGCGCGGTCGCTCACCTCGATGCCTTCCCTGCCTTCATCAGCAACTACCGTGCCATCAACGTCTTTAAAGGAGTCGAGGATTTGTGGAAGGTTATCCGAGCCAGTGCCATTCGCAGCTACAGTCCCTCCGTTGAGCCACACGGCGTTATCATTGAGGGGTTCGACCCTCCCGTGACTTTCACCGGACCTGGTGAAATCATTCTCCCGTGAACCAATGCGGTAATTTGTGGAATCCGAGCCTCTGGATTTATTGCCGTCAGGCAGAGGCCGACCGTCATCTGAGTTTTCCAGCGCTGTGCGATCGTCATCTGCCAGACAGGGCTTTCTGAACACCGGACTGGAGCCGGCGTTCGCCGAAGCTGACCCGGCCGTGCTGTGGCCCGCGTCGCTCTTCCCATCGTCGTCATGTCTCCCCTCACCGTCGGAATTCTCTCCCGGTGCTTCATAGCCGGAGCCACCGTTGTGAACATTCTCGGGCATCACGTTATCGTCATCGCCGCCGTGCGGGTGTCTCCGTGGCACGACCGCGGGCACGCGCGCCGTGACATCTTCCCAATCATTGCCGGCGCCATCGATTCCGAAGCCATCTTCATCTTGGCGCGCAGGCTCCTCTTCTGCGGAGGAGCTGTGCCCGAAACTCCTGCGCAGCATGCCGCTGCTTGTGCCGTCGCTCGTGCCGTCGTCGCTCGTGCCATTGATCTCGACTTTCACCTCACCGTGGTCTGCGCCACGCTTCGGTTCAAAGCCTCCATTTCCATCACTCGGGCCTTCGCCTATAAATGGCTCGCCGCCCTCCTCTCGCAGCCGTTCCCCGTCGTCTTCGCGGGGCTGTTGTGTGCCACGTGCCCAATCGCTCTCGTGCCTTGGTCCAACATTGTGCGGATCGGTGAAACCCTCCCGGTCTCTTAGGTCGTCCCTTGTAGACTCTTGGAATGTGGAGCCATCGTCTAGACTTTGTGCCTTGCCCGTCAAACCATGATGTTCTGGGTCGTGTGTCCAAACTTTGTTGTGGCTCGGTCCTAAATCATCTCCATCAATGGATCCTTCCTTCTCCGTTTGATTTTCCTTTGTCGAGGCTTGGTGTTTGTAATCAGAGTCTGGGCTGTGTGTGTTGTCAGCTGGACTATCTGTATCTTTCGCGGGCACCCACGCACTCTTGAGGCTCAGTCTTGAATCGTCCCCGCCAGTGAAACCTTCCTTCTCTCTCTGGTCTTCATACATTGATGCTTTGAATGTGTGGCCATCATCTGGGCTCCGTGCGTTGTCTGCTAGACTCTTCGTATCTAGACTGTGCGCCCATGTGTTCTTACGGCTCACTCCTAAATCATCTCCATTAGTGGAACCTTCCTCCTCCATTTTATTTTTCTTCGGAGACACTTGGTGTTTAAAATCAGAGTCTGCGCTGTGTGCGTTGTCAGCTCGACTATTTGTATCTATATTGTGTGCCCAAGCAGTCTTGTGACCCAGTCTCAAGTCATCTCCACCAGTGAAACCTTCCTCATCTCGTTGGTGGTCCTTTGTAGATGCTTTGAATGTATGGCCATCGTCTAGGCTCTGTGCTTTGCCCGTCAAACCACCATTTTCTCCATCGCTTACCCAAACTTTGTTAAATCTCAGTCCTAAATCATCCCCACCAGTGAAACCTTCATTCCCTCTTTGCTCATTATACACCGACGCTTTGAATGTGTGTCCATCGTCTAGGCTCTGTGCTTTTCTCGTCAAACCACGATTTTCTCCATCGCTAACCCAAACTTTCTTAAAACTCAGTCCTAAATCATCCCCACCAGTGACACCTTCATTCACTATCTGCTCATTATACACCGACGCTTTGAATGTATGGCCATCGTCTAGGCTCTGTGCTTTTCTCGTCAAACCACGATTTTCTCCATCGCTTACCCAAACTTTGTTAAATCTCAGTCCTAAATCATCCCCACCAGTGAAACCTTCATTCTCTCTTTGCTCATTATACACCGACGCTTTGAATGTGTGCCCATCGTCTAGGCTCTGTGCTTTGTCTGCCAGACTTTCCTTATCTATAGCGTGCGCCCACGCGTGCTTGTGGCTCAGTCCCACATCTTCCCCACCAGTAAAGCCTTCCTTCTTCATTTGATCTTCCGTCGTGGACGGTCGCTGTTTGTAATCATCACCCATGCCCTGTGCATCGCCTGTCAGGCCGCTGCTGTCGCCGGCACCATCCCTTTGACGAGCGTCATCTTCCCGTTCGTACGCAGGCCACTGCTCCTCCTCCTCCTCTCCCTCCTCGCCCATGAGGCCGTAGCCTCGGCGAGATTCATCGTCCCCGCTGATGGCCTGATCTCGTTTGCCCCGCCGGACTCCGGGATCATCCCGCGGCTCGCCCTTCTCAGAGTCTGACCCCCCGACCCGGTTCTCGTCCTGCTGCGTGAACTCTGGGTCTCTCCTGTCGATCGCGAGTTCACTCTTAGACAGGCCATCTCCTCTGTGCACCTGATCTCTGCCCTGCAGTTCGTCTTCTCTGTTGCACTCTGGTTGGACACGTACGTGGACCAGGCTTGCCTTGTACCTTGAACTGTCCTTATCCTCGGCCTCCTCATCCGACAGGTCTTCCTTGGTTCCTACGTCTTCCGTTTGGTACCCTTGGCTCTTTGTGTCAACTTGAGCTTCCGGGTCACCTGCGTCTTTGACTTTATAATTGAGGTCATTGCTGGCGATGAGCTCTTCCCCATATCTCAATCTCCTCCTCACGGGTACCACCAGACCCTCGTCATCTGCTTGGAGGCTCTTGACCCACGTTTTTCCCGTTCTGTAAACTTTTGCTCTCTCATTGTCCTTCAGGCTTCTCTGGTCGCTTAGGCCTTCCTGTTTAGCCGTGGGACTTTCTGTCTTCAAATGTTCCTTCTTCAAGCCTTCCTTGTCTTCTGATTGATAAGTTAATCCTTCCATGTTATAATCTCTGACCTCCTTACGTTCACCACCATCCACGTGCCTTAGGCCTTCCCTCACATTTCCAACGTCCTTCTTCTCCCTTAGGCCTTCCTGAGGGAACGTTAACCCTTCCTTGTTGCTCAATGCTGGGCCTTCGAGGTGCCCCAACGCCGGGCCTTTGAAGTGTCCCTTGCGGTACCCAAGCTCCTCCTCGTGTCCGACACCCTCCTCTTGGCGTCCCACTTCCTCCGTGCCGACCATTTGCCCGTGCCTCCGTAGCCCCACCTTTCTGTACGGTGAACCCCGACCCTCCACGTGGCTCTCCTTTTTCGGGGCTGACGACCCCCTGCCGCCTATTTTGCCTTCGCGGCCGATCTTGCCCTCGCCCACCGAATCATCGGACGCGTCGGCCGGGCCTGCCGGGCACACCTCGGACGCTGTCGCTGCTCTCCCCGCCAAGCCATTGAGCGTGCCGCCCTCTCGCTCGCCACGGCTCGGGCTCGGCGTTTCACCGTTTCGGTAGCGGCGCCCGGAATGTGTCGCCACTGCCGCCGCCGAGCGATCATCCGTCGGCCGGGAAGTGCGACTCGCCAGGACGTCCACTTCCTCTGCCCGTCGGCCGTGCCAGGGCCCCCCCCCGCCGTTGTGAACACCCTCCTTCGATGTCGCCGCCGAGCCGCTGCCGCTCTCGCCGGAGGGTCGTGCCTTCGCCTCCCGCGGCGCATCTTCTGGACTGCCTCCGTCATCATTGGCGTGGAGCGGTTTGTGGATGGGCCGAGGCTGGGTCAGGTAGTCGCCGATGATGCGGCGGGCCGACTGCTTGACGATGTCCTCCGTGGGCGAGCAGAGGTCGGCCGTGCGAGATCTAATGAAAGGTGCAACAACAACAAAAAAGGTTTGTCGTGAATCAGAACGTTCCGGTGCAACAATTCTCACTCATCGTAAGGAAATTACTAAATATTTGCGCAAGGACGTAAAAGGGTGGGGGGAGACATAAATGGGGGTGTTGCTGTACTCTATCCATGGGACCTTTATTTTGCCAGTATCAAAAAAAAAATGAAAAAGAGAATCGGTGTTTACCCATTCTGGCAATAAAACAGGAGTTGTGTTCAAATGCTCAAACACCAAACAAATGATACACATACTGCAAGGCATCAAGTCTGCATTAGGCACACGTTGATTTTGGCAAAAAGTCCCGTAGCTATAACTACTCAATCAGAGCTCCTAATACTTTGATACTTACATTGCCTTTGTACTGTTCGCATTTTGGTGTTCGCCGGGCTAACAGGTGGTGAGACAAGGCCATGAAAAAGGCGGTCTCTGGCGTAGGCCAATCAGTTTCAAATACAATGCGTACATTATTATCAGAGTATGTTCGCTTGCATGTTTTGCCACAAATATGTGTGGTTAATGTACACTTTATGACTTTCAAAAGGTGCGTCATCTATTTTGGTGTTTGAACATCTCAATACAACCTGTTTTATTGCCAGACAGGGTAAAGCCAACTCTGGTTTTGTCAGCTTTACTGTACTCTTGTTTCCAGGCCTCGAGCTGTGGTCGTGGCCGCGATGGCTATGTTTGGCACTGTTTTGCTTTCGAAAGAGCCACAGCCGTCACCGTAATTGCGAAGGCGATGTTTCCAGCCTTTGAAATCGCTTTCGCCGCGAGGCACATACGCCGCGGAGATGTTAACTCCCTCGCCTGGTATGCGGGAGGTTGTGGGTTCGATCTCGACCGTGACGCCTGCGTGCTAAACTGTATATTTGTATTTTGCGTGTCTCTATATCTCTCCCCATGGTCGCATGGATTTTTCTCCCGGGTCATCAATTTTTTTCCCGCCACATTTAGAATCAACATGCGTTTAGACTTTAAGTATTCGTTTGTTGCTATAAATGTCCACGTGATGAGCCACTTCGTTAAAGCTGTCGTTTGCGATGGACAGGTCGCTTCTCAAGAAGTGCTACATAGATCAGTGGCCCTCACATGGTAAGATAAAATATATAGTTTAAATAGTTTCGTTTGCATATGCGCCATCTTGGCGTGCCCAATAATTAAATTCTGTCCATAATGGTAACTCGGCAGTGCAGCGAGTGCCTCTCGCAATGGGAAAGTTTGCGAGTTGGTGATTATTATAATTTTTCGTCATTATCATTATTGCCCTACGGAGTACGTAATGGAAAGCGGCCTACTGGACTAACACCGACTCGTTAAAACGCTTGCGCCGTTGTTAAAACAAATTTAGAATGTAATAAATAATACCGCAGCAAGTGGGCGAGAATTAACTACGGGCGCATGCACGTGTGTTGAACGACTTTCGCACCGTACGCAGCCAACCGTGCCAATCTGAGGTGCGGGAGAAGATCAACAAACTAAAACACAAAAAGCAGTTCTAAAGAAAATCTTTTCAATATAGATGATTTAAAAGTGCCTAAACCCATTACAGACGGCCGCAGAAGCGCATCCGAAGGCGCCGCGCGATGCGGTGACCACCGATCTTTGTTCGATGGTCAGACAAAAGCCGCTGTAAGGATGACCGGAATTCGCGTGATGGTTTATGTTCCTTGACGAGATTAGCAAGGCATTGTGGGTGACTTTGTGACAAGCACCTCGTGTGTGTGATCAGTGCGACCTTGGTATGTGTTCGTTCGGCAAGCGAAAGCTAATGCAGCTCAGCGAGCACTGGACGGACACGGTCGGATCTTGCCGTGCCCCGCCACGACACGCGCCAGAGAATGTTGTACACAAGCTGCAGCTTTGTAATGCTCTTGGCAGACGACCCGTAACTTTGTAGAGAGTTGAGGGGGTGGGACCCTTCTTGGCTGTCACTCCGTCTCCAGTCTCGACCGTCTAAATTGACAAACTAATTTCTTTAAAGCTGCTTGTTGTTGTTGTTGTGTTGAGTTTGATGGACTTCCCCCACACCTCCGATTAGCGCGGTTGGCTACGTACAGTGAGAAGGAAGTTCAACGCACACGCCCGTACATAACACATACGTCGAACACGGATGCATTTACGGCTTACTGCACCTCAGTGGGGGACGCGGGGGGTGGGGGGACGTTAGGGGGGGCGTTAGGGGGGGGCGTTAGTGGGGGGCCTAAACAAAACTGGCGCAGGACGTCCGAAAAATGAACGATTGAGTGGGGGGGGGGGGTGAAAAAAATGCCATTTGGACTCCGTGGCGCGGGTGAGGTCACTCGGGTTGACCTTCAGCGCCTACAGCTGCGCATGTGCCGCCCCCCATTGGCTGAGCCACCGCCCGCCCGCGTGGTAAACACACGTGGGGCGTTGCTGGGCAACGCACAACGACACAAAGGATCCCCCCGCCTCCCACAGACTTGGGGCGTGTGCTGCCCGTGTCGAGGAGCTGGCGAGCACCTGTGAAGGCCGGCACTGCTGTGGCTGGCCAGCAACCACCACGCCCGGCCGCCTTTGTCTCCCCAGTGGCGATGATTTTACAACACCGCGCGCCAGGTACTCATTTGAGGTTGAGTCGACCTAGGGGAGGCCTAGGACCGGTTTAGAATATCGTCAATGGTGGTGTTGGCTGCCGTGAGCGGGAATTGAACTCGGGCCGCCGGGTTCGTAGCGCGAACCACGGCACTAACCGCTCCCATAATTGCTTAGCACACACACAGATACACAAAGACAAAGACAGCCCCGGGGTATAGCCTTCACAGAGTGTTGGGGCAAGTGCTGTTAGCGAGCACCTATCAAGGCCGGCACGGCACACGAAAGGGTGAGTGGCCAACACCATCACGCCCGGCCGTTATCGTCTCCCCAGTGCCGATGAATTTACAACGCCGCACCAGGTACTCATTTGAGGTTGAGTCAACCTAAGGGTGGCCCAGAGATCTGTTCATGTGATAATCATCACCGGTGTTGGCCGTGAGCGGCAATCGAACTCGGGTCGCCGGGTTCGTAGCACAGCGTAGCGCTAACCACTGCACCACCGCTCCCTCCACACGCACACAGCGTTGTACTGTATCTCAAACTGGCTTGTCGTGTCTCTGCCGACCCGGTTTTTCTGTCATCTCCCTCCCTCCTGTTCCTCCCCCTGCTGCTGCTGCTGCTGGGCGCCACGGTGGCCAGGAGATGTTAACTACCTCGCCTGGTATACAGGAGGTCGTGGGTTCGATCCCGACCCTGATGAGATGTTAACTACCTCGCCTGGTATACAGGAGGTCGTGGGTTCGATCCCGACCCTGATGAGATGTTAACTACCTCGCCTGGTATATAGGAGGTCGTGGGTTCCATCCCGACCCTGATGAGATGTTAACTACCTCGCCTGGTATACAGGAGGTCGTGGGTTCGATCCCGACCCTGATGAGATGTTAACTACCTCGCCTGGTATACAGGAGGTCGTGGGTTCGATCCCGACCCTGATGAGATGTTAACTACCTCGCCTGGTATACAGGTGGTCGTGGGTTCGATCCCGACCCTGATGAGATGTTAACTACCTCGCCCAGTATACAGGAGGTTGTGGGTTCGATCCGGACCCTGACGCCTGCTGTTGTTTATTTGGAGTCTGCGCGTCTCTCTCTCCCCGGTTTCCCCCCCTCCACGTTTAGAATCAACGCCACGTGTTTGATAGACTCGGGTTTACCACCCAGTCCACTGCGGACCAAGCCCAGACGCTGTTTCTCCGTCAGCACTGCGGTCTATAATCAACAACGCACCATCTTCTTGGTTCTTTCGGTAAAGTCACGTAGAAGAGAAATAATCTAATATTATTATTATTTTATTATTTCCCTTCTACGTGACTTTATCGAAAGAACCAAGAAGATGAATCCCTGAAGTCACAAAGCTTTAAATCGAAACACCGCACCACTTATATGCAACTGCGACTGCACGCAAACATCCCGCCACGCCGGACACGAATGCCCCAATTCCCCTGCGACTTTGTCCGGGTCCAACCCGTAGAGGTGGCAACCGCTTGTGATAGACACAAGCAGGGCTGTCCATAGGGGGGGGAGGGGGGTAGTGGTGGAGGCCCCCCCCCAATGCCTTCAAACGTTTTTATTTGATTTTCGATTTAAAGTTTTTATTTGATTTTCGATTTAAAGTTTTTATTTGATTTTCGATTTAAAGTTTTTATTTGATTTTCGATTTAAAGTTTTTATTTGATTTTCGATTTAAAGTTTTTATTTGATTTTCGATTTAAAGTTTTTATTTGATTTTCGATTTAAAGTTTTTATTTTATGTTACCAGGTAAGGCTCCACTGACCTGCGACGTCGCTCTCACAAGCGATCTGACCATCACAAATTATAGCTCAACAATTTGGCGTATAATCATCATCGTGTGGAAATTTATAATAGCAGCCGAATACTCTTTAAACGCGTGGTGTCATTGATTCTAAATGTGGAGGGTAATACCGGAGGACCCCGAGAAAAATCCACGCGACCATGGGGAGAGAGACACGCAGACTCCAAATATACAGCAACAGGCGTCAGGGTTGGGATCGCACCCACGACCTCCTGTGTACCAGGCGAGGTAGTTAACATCTCCTAGCCACCGTGACGTCGAAGCGCAGCCCCCACCGCCCAAAGTCACTGCCGATTCCCCGTGTAGATGCAGAGACGACAACCAACATTTCACATTCAGGTGGGGGTGTGAGAGTCTGAGATAGAGAGTGTGAGACAGTGTGTGTGAGACAGAGTGTGTGTGAATGTCATTGTGTGTGTGGGGAGCGGTAGTGTAGCGGTTAGCGCGCTGCGCTACGAACCTGGCTACCCGGGTTCGATTCCCGCTCACGGCCAACACCAGTGACGATTTTTTGAACCGGTCCCGGGCCTCCCCTAGGTCGACTCCGCTTCAAATGAGTACCTGGTGCGGTGTGTAAACATCGTCACTGGGGAGACAAAGGCGGCCGGGCGTGGTGCTGGCCACCCACCCCCTCGTGTGCCGTGCCGGCCTTCATAGGTGCTCGCTAACGGCACTTGCCCCATCAGTCTGCTGAGGCTATACGGGGGGTCTTGGTGTGGCCCAGTGTTTGTGTGTGCAATCCAGAGAGACAGACAGAGAGAGAATTTCGCTTTGGGCTACGAAACACAAAACAATCCCAGAAATGTGTTTGTGTGCGTGTGGTGGGCGTTGCGCTTATTTAATTTATTTTTTCCTTCAACTACAAATAAATGATCAATCATCGCAAACTAAGAAATTGGCCGACGACGTCTCCTGCTCCTTCGCACATTTTCAAGAGGGCCGTAGGAGGGGTGGGGGAACAACCCGATAACACCACTCCACCCCCCTCACGCGAGGCTCCTTGGAGCACGTGCTGTCAACAGGATTGTTTCAGCACGAGCCAAACTCTGGACCGGTTTCCGCATTCAGTGTTCCATCAGTAGCAGTCAGGCTTGTTTGAACAAAATGCTGTTGAACCGACAGTATGGCATTATCCCAGCAGTGGATAGACACTGGATGGCATATGTATGCAAGTACTGACCCCAATGACCTTGGGGAGAGGGAAACCGGGTACTCACGCGGTAGGGGCCGTTTCTTCACGAACTCCGACCCCACGGTTTGACCTCTGGCCCCGATCGCGGTCTCCCTCCGACGCGAATCCGCTCCGCATCTTCACTCCACGTGGAAGCTCTGCCTGGGCCTCGATAGCAGTCCCAGTTCTGGTCCCAGTCTTGGTCTCAGCCTTGGTCACAGTCTCGGGCCTTGCCTCTATCCTAGCCTTGGTGTCAGCCTTCGTCTCGGTCCCAATCTTAGTAGCAGTCTCTGCCTCCTCACTCTCCTTGGCGCTCGGGCTATCCTGACCGGCCTGTACCCCAGTCCCAGGGCTCTGGTTCCCATTGCCAGTCGAGACCGAGGATTTCAGCCTGAAGTTCTTCGAATCCTGCAGGATCATCCCCTCCGACGCCAGCTTTTCTCGGAGCATCGCAAGCCTCATTCGCGCCGGCAGCATCCCCGGCCTGGGACTGCCCAACACCTCCGAGTCTCTCCGCGGCAATTTCTCCGGCGACCCTGGCTGATCGCCCATCGTCTGCGAGGGCCTCCTTATCGAGGGTTGGGCCACGCGGGCCCGGCCCACCGACTCCACGGGATTGTCTGTGCCCTTTCGAGGCTCAGGAGAAGAGTCGGCTTCTGTCTCCCGTTGCCTGGACTTGTCGCGGACGGAACCCCAAGGTGATGCTTGCCTCTTCCACCGACTGGACTCTTCACGGAGAGAGCCCCCGGCTTCTACCCGTTTCTCCCACCTCCTGGGCTCTGCATGGAGAGGACTGTCAGAGTCGAAGAGGCCCTCCTGGCTCCTGGACTTCTCGAGGACAGGAATCCTTGCTGCTGCTGCCCGCCTCTCCCACCTTCTGGGTTCTTCGGAGAGGGAAATGGCCGATCCTCTCTTGCCCTGCATCGCGGGCTCCTCCTGCAGGAAGCTCTCAGTTGCTCCCGTTGTTCTCGAACTCCTGGATACTTCAGCAGGAGGGCCATCGGGATCCATTCGTCTCTCCCACTCCCTGGACTTCTCAACGAGGGGAACCCCGGCTGCCGCCTGCCTCTTCCACCTCCCGGAATCTTCGTGGAGAGAGCTCGACACCCCTCGCCTCTCGACACCCCTGGGCTCTTCAAGAGCATGGCCGGCTAATACTCTTTGTCCACGTGTCACGGGCTCGTCGTGAAGGACGGCCTCGAGCCCTCTCCTTGAACCGCTAGAGTCTTCACGGAGAGGACCGCCAGCTTCTGCCCACCTTGCCCGCCCCTTGGCTTCCTCAGAGAGAAGACTTTTTTCCAAGTGCAGTCGTTTCTCATCGCCCCTGGGCTTCTCAACGAGGGGAACCCTGGCTGTCGCCTGTCTCTTCCACCTCCTGGAATCTTCGTGGAGGGAAGTTGAAGCCCCTTGCCTTTCAAGATCCCTGGGCTCGCCAAGACGGTGACCTGCCGATCCCCCAAGTCCCTGCGTCCCGGGTTCCTCCTTCTCTCGCAGGAAACGCTCGATGGCTATTCTTCCTCTCCATGTCCTGGATTCTTCGCGGGGGGAGCCGTTGACCTCTATCGGCCTGCTTTGACTCCTGGATTTCTCAAGGACGGGACTCTCGGCTTCGATTAGCCTCTCCCAAATCCTGGACTTCTCACGGACAGAACCTCCAGCTATGGCCTGCCTCTCCCACCTCATGGAGCCTTCGCGGAGAGAACCCCCAGCTTCTACCTGCTTCTCCCACTTCTTTTTGGGCTCTGCACGGAGAGGACCGTCAGAATCGAAGAATCCCTCCTGGCTCCTGGACTTCTCGAAGGCGGGAATCCCTGCTGCTGCTGCTGCCCGCCTCTCCAACCTCCTCGCGTCTTCATGGAGAGACTTCGCCGATCCTCTTCTCGCCTGAGCCGCGGGCTCCTCCTGCAGAGAGCCTTCAGTGCCCCTCCTTTGAAAACTCCTCGATCCTGCACGGGGAGGACTGTCGGCTTCCACCAGTGCGTCTTGACCCCTGAACTTTTCAAGCAGAGACAGGGCAGGTCTTCTTGCCTCCCGCCTGCCGGCATCCTCCTGGGCAGGGCTCCCGGCCTCCCATCTCTTCCATTTTCTGGGCTCTCCCTCGTCTTCCCCCGGAGGCTGTGCCCTTCTTCCGCCGTTCTCCTGCCTCGCACCGCCGAGTCTCTGCCGACCTCCGGGCCGCTCCTCCCGCAGGACGTTGGCGCGGCCTCCTCCTCCGGCCCAATCGTCCCCTGCGGCCCGTTGCTCCGCTCGCCGCGGAGCCCCGGCTTCGGCTTCTCGCGACGCTCTGCGGTCTCCCCACGCCGCTCGCTCCCCGGCCGCTCCGCCGCCGCTACTGCCGCCACGGCAGCGGTCGCGGTCGTCGTCGTCGTCGTCACGCCGAGCTGGGGACGGACCCCGAACGGCGAGCGCCTCGACCGTGGGGCGAACGGGGCGCAGGAAGCGACCGCCACCTGCGGTCACGGCGGCGGCGGCGGTGGCAGTGCGGCGCCGTGTCGACGAGGTCCCGGGCTCGCCCATCCTCCTCGCGCTGTCCCTCGCACCTCTTTAACCGCCTCCTGCAGTGGCTTCTTCCTCGATCTGGAGAGATGGGGAGTGTGTGTGAGTGTGGTACGTTCACATTTTTACCAGACCAGGTAAACAGGAAAATGTGCATGCCCCTGAAAGCGCTCGCTCACGCCACTAAACTATTTAAACTATTGTTTATTTTACGAGGCGCAAAGCCACACTGAACTATGTAGCTCTTTTTCAGAATAGACCCGGCGATCACAAATGATAGCTTCATGGAAGTGACTCATCGTGTGGACATTCATTGCAGCCAAATACTCTAAACCAGTGGTTCTTCTTAACCTGGGGTGCACCACACACGCCCGGGGCGTGCGAGACATGGCCACATTCTTTTAGAAGGTAAATCATCGAAACACAAATTAAGCACGGGGCAACGTAAGTGACAACTTACTCTGTTTCATCAAACCCTATGTAGCTATTAACATTGTACATTTGTTAACGATTAAGGGTCCAGTGCAGGTCAAGAACCGCTGGGCTAGACTGCGACGTCGAAACGAATCGCCGGGTTAACTGACTGCACTTTTTTTGAGTCGTCTCGTTTCGATGGAAATCGTGAATGCGCGCGAGCGATCTTAAACACGCGAAGTATTTTCATTTGCTCGCGGTCGTGATCTCATCACGTATTTGAATTTGCCAGCGATCGTGATCTAGTGACGTGTTTTAATTTGCTCGCAATCGTAATTTAGTGACGTCGTCTTAATTTGCTCGCGATTGTGATCTCGCGACGTATTTTAATTTACTCGCGATCGTGATCTAGTGACGTGTTTTAATTTGCCAGCGATCGTGATCTAGTGACGTATTTTAATTTGCTCGCGATCGTGATCTCGCCACGTGTTTTAATTTGCTCGCGATCGTGATCTAGTGACGTGTTTTAATTTGCCAGCGATCGTGATCTCGCCACGTGTTTTAATTTGCTCGCGATCGTGATCTCGCCACGTGTTTTAATTTGCTCGCGATCGTGATCTAGTGACGTGTTTTAATTTGCCAGCGATCTAGATGCCCGCCCATCTCTACCGATTGCATGTTTGACCCTCCTCCTCCTCCTTGCCTAACTGTTGACCGATCGTAGAACAACTTCCTATCCAACCCACCAACCCAGTGGCGGATGATCCTCGTAGCAAAGTAAAAGCGGAGGATTCAATGAGTGGCAGTGACCGTGGCAGGAGCAGCAGCAGCAGCAGTGGCGCTAGCAGAGCGACACGCAGGTGACCGACCGCCCGGTGAGTCAGGGGCTGCAGCGAATCGGCCGGTGCTGTGATCAGTGCCGGATTATCCTCGTAGCAAAAGTAGCTATATGTGTAGTAGCTACATGTGTAATAGCTACACGTGTAGTAGCTACATCTGTAGTAGCTACACGTGTAGTAGCTACTGCACGTGTAGTAGCTACTGCACGTGTAGTAGCTACTGCACGTGTAGTAGCTACTGCACGTGTAGTAGCTACTGCACGTGTAGTAGCTACTACATGTGTAGTAGCTGCACGTTTAGTAGCTGCACGTGTAGTAGCTACCTATGCTACGGGCCCACGCTTTCAAGGGCCCCGCGCTAAATGCTTTCAGGCTATCAATTCCGGTTCAGTGATTCTGCACTATTACTATAGTACTATACTGCCTTCAACTTTTACGAACGACTGGGTGTTTAAGGTTAGAGATTTGTCCTATTATCTGGCCGTATAGCAAATGAAAAAATACAATTACTTTACTGTGCAAGTTAAACATTTATGCGTTTTAATATTTGCGTGTTTTTTTCTTCACTTAGGGTCATAACATCATGCTACAGGCCCCGCACTTCGCTTCATCCGGCACTGCACCCACACATGCCTCCTCGCACGCTGCCCCCCTGGTTGGGTCATTCGTGCCGGTGACAACACCTCGCCCAAAGCGCGCGCACGCACGCCGTGTTCCACCACCCCCCGATTCACCTGCTCATCGCTGTCAATTGGCTCTGCCTGCAATGCGCCACCATACCGCCTCATCACCTTGCCGGGTGTTCCTGGGCCTCTCCTAGGTCGACTCAGCCTCAAATGAGCAACCTGGAGCGGTGCGTAAAAACATTGCCTTGCACCTGGCGTGGTGCTGTCCACCCGCCCCCTCGTGTGCCGTGCCGGCCTTCATAGATGCTCACTAACAGCACTTGCCCCAAAAGTCTGTTAAAGGCTATACGGGGGATCTTTGTCTGTGTGTGGGTTGAAACATCGTCACTGGGGAGACAAAGGCCGCCGGGCGTGGTGCTGGCCACCCACCCCCCTCGCGTGCCGTGCCGGCCTTCATAGGTGGTGCTGCTACTCGCTAACAGCACTTGCCCCTACAGTCTGTTGAGGCTACACGGGGGGGGGTCTCTGTTGTTCCTGTGAACATCACCGTCACCTGTCACCTTACGCCGACGGCAAAACGAAACAACTCGTGGGGTCGCCACCGAAGTCGATCAACGAATCCGTGAACCCCCCGGGTGGCTCCCTTCTGGCTGAAGCGTCCACCGCTGGTCCACCTCGCCCCGCTGTCGGCCTACGTCGTCCCTTGCGAAGTCGCCCACGAAGTCGCCCCTCGCGCGAGTCCCCGTCCACTCACTCCACCACCCACCCCAGCGGGGTCGACATCGTCATCACACCGCTGGGTCGACATCGTCATCACACCGCTGGGTCGACATCGTCATCACACCGCTCACCTGTCGCTCTCTTCACCCGCTGCTCATGTCGCACACCCGTGGCCCGCCCGGCGATGTCGCGAACTCGCCGTTGTCACCTGCAGCTCCACAGCACCACGACTCCACGTGTTGATTGAGACGAAGAGGACGACGATGATGAAGATGTCGACGCTTTAGCCGCAGCTCACCTATCCCGCGGAGTTGCGTTGCGTGTTTAAAGTCTCCGCCCGAGCCCAGGTGAGCCCAGGTGCGCCCAGGTGCACCCCGGGGGGGGGGAGGGGTGTGGGCGGGGTTGTGTGGTGGCGAGAGAGCGACTCCGTCGTCGTCGTCGGCGGCTCTTGTTTGACGACGAGCGACGCGGAGACACCCGCAGCAGGAGAAGCAGGAGAAGCGAGTGAGCGCGGCGCTCAGAGAGAGACGCAGGCGGGGACACGGGAGCACCCCACCACCCCCCCACACCCCACACGCCCCGAACCTGCACGGGGCCCTGTGCTGATCGAGACGCGGCAGGCGGCACCCACGGAGAGAGGGGGAGGAGGGGGGAGGGAGGAGGGGGGAGGGAGGGGAAGGGGGAAGAGGGGAGGGAGGGGAAAGGAGAGGGGAGGGAGGGAGGGGGTGACGGGGCTGGGCGGGGGAGGGGAGTTGGGGGGTGTGGTGCTGAGTTGGAGGCGAGGGAGGGGGGGGCGAAGGGGGGGCGAGGGGGGGGCGAGGTGCGGCGAGGGGGATGCCAATTGTGCCCCCCCCCACCATCCCCCCCACCACCCACCCACCCCCCCACCCCACCACCCCAGACGCTCTGCGTGCATTCCGGGACGTGTTCACCTGCGCGGCGGGGTCGCCCCCAATCCTAATTAGAGGCGGCGGCCATGGACATGTGGGGCATTCCGTGTGTCCGTGTGTGTCTCTCTGTGTCCGTGTGTGTATCTCTCTCTGTGTCCGTGTGTGTCTCTGTGTGTGTGTCGCTGTGTGTGTGTGTGTCTCTCTCTCTGTGTGTGTCTCTCTCTGTGTCCGTGTGTGTGTCCGTGTGTGTCTCTCTGTGTGTGTCCGTGTGTGTCTCTGTGTGTGTGTGTCCGTGTCTGCCTCTCTGTGTGTGTCCGTGTCTGTCTCCCTGTGTGTGTGTCCGTGTGTCTCTGTGTGTGTGTGTGTGTCTCTCTGTGTGTCCGCGTGTCTCTCTCTGTGTGTCCGTGTGTGTCTCTCTCACTGTGTCCGTGTGTCTCTCTTTGTGTGTCCGTGTGTGTGTCTCTCTCTCTCTGTGTGTCTCTCTCTGTGTCTCTGTGTGTGTGTGGGGAGCGGTAGTGTAGTGGTCAGCGCGCTGCGCGACAAACCTGGCGACCCGGGTTTGATTCCCGCTCACGGCCAACATCAGTGACGATTATCTGAACCGGTCCTGGGCCTCCCCTAGGTCTACTCAGACTCAAATGAGTACCTGGTGCGATGTGTAAACATCGCCACTGGGGAGACAAAGGCGGCCGGGCGTGGTGTTGGCCACCCACCCCCTCGTGTGCCGTGCCGGCCTTCATAGGTGCTCGCTAACAGCACTTGCCCCGACAGTCTGTTAAGGCTACACGGGGGATCGTTTTATCTTTGTGTGGTGCTGAACTTCTTTAGCACCGTACGTAGCCACCCGTGATAATCGGAGGTTCGGGGGGGGGGGGAAGGACAACAACCTTGACACGACACCGACACGCAGCAGTTCTGAAGCGAATGAGTGTTTCAATGGTGCTCGTTTTATCGACCCCTTGAGGGTGGGAGGTATGATGGGGCGCTGTGGTCAACCACACTTGTACAGCTGCACGGGCGTCACTCGAGATCACAGCGACGTTTGTTTTGCTACAATGAGCATTGTTGAGACATCGCTGCTCAGGTACAGTTTACAGGACTGAGGCCGTGCTGGAAATTGCACATTCCTATGACGAGGGGGGGGGGGGGGGTGTCTGTATGCGCGTCTGTTTCACAGAAGACGTGTCCGTTGGTACTAGTTTTATCGACCCCTCGCACAGCGTGGTACTAGTTTTATCGACCCCCGAGGGAGGCAGGGTGGGACGGATGATGATGGGCCGAGCCAGCTATCACGAACAAACTTGAGTCGAACTCTGCTCGTGGGCTAACAAAGCGTCACATCCATGCTGGACTCTAGCCAACACGAGGGGCATGTCAACACCAATTACATGTAATAGCCGCTCGCTTTGTGGGCAGTAATTGAGGATGAAGGCGTGAGATCATCAACTCCGGATTCGCGGTGGCCGAGTCCCCGATTTGAACCCAGGCCCTCAGCGATGGCGGCTCGGAATCTTCTGACCTGTTGACCCCTCCCGACACTGGGACACATCTGTGGACAGCAGAAACAACAACAACAACAAGGACACGAGCTTCGAAACTCTTCGGATTAAAGATTCGAAATGAGGAAAGAGAAAAAAAGATTTTAAATGAAGATGAAAATAAAGATAAAATAAAGATGAGAAAAAAATAAAAATTCTAAATAAAGAAAAAAAAATTCTAAATAAAGATGAAAATAAAGACAAGAAAATAAAGATGAGATGAAAATAAAGATAAAATAAAGATGATAAAAAAAAATACAGAGACAGAGGGACAGAGACACAGACACAGAGGGACAGAGACACAGAGAGACAGAGAGACAGAGAGAGACAGAGACAGAGCCAGAGAGAGACAGAGACAGAGAGACAGAGACAGAGCGAGAGACAGAGGGACAGAGACACAGAGAGACAGAGAGAGAGACAGAGAGAGACAGAGAGCCAGAGTGAGACAGAGAGAGAGAGACAGAGACAAAGCGAGAGACAGAGGGACAGAGACACAGAGAGACAGAGAGAGACAGAAAGACAGAGTGACACAGAGAGAGAGAGAGAGACAGCGAGAGACAGAGGGACAGAGAGACACAGAGAGAGACAGCGACAGTGGCCAGGTAGCGTGGCCGAGCGGTCTAAGTTGCTGGATTAAGGCTCCAGTCTCTTTGGAGGCGTGGGCTCAGACCCCACCGCTGGCAAAGCTTGTTTTGCATTAAACGCAAAGTGCAAAATAGTCTTTAAAAATAAAGAGACAGAGTCAGAGGTCGGTCGGTCTGCTGCGCGTGGGATGCCGCTGACGTGCAGCCAGGAGCCACGCCCGCGTGGATGAGGCTCCTCGCGCGCAGACGTCACGGCAACACGCATCGCTGTGGATCGCCAGGTATTTGCACATCGTACAGTACAACCTGACTTCCCGGAACGTACGATTGGAGTTCGTTCGAGTCATCGCGGTGGCGGAGTTCAAAGCGCCGAGCGGCCAGCAACAATCGGCACTGTCGTGAGACGAACAATAAAACAAAAGGATACCCGATAAGGGTGTAGCAAGGTGGTAATGATTGCAAGAGTTTAATTATGACGGTGGTGGTGGCAGTGGTGGTGGTGGTGATGATGGGAGGAGGGAATTCCAGTGGCGCGGTGCGATCGGAAAAAGCAGAAAAGAGAAGTGGGGCGAGTGAGTCAGTGGGTAGGTAAGTGGGTGGGTAAGTGGGTGGATGGTTGGATGGGTAAGTAAGTGGGTGGATGGGTGGATGGGTAAGTAAGTGGGTGGATGGGTAAGTAAGTGGGTGGATGGGTGGATAGGTAAGTGGGTGGATGGGTAAGTGGGTGGATGGGTAAGTAAGTGGGTGGATGGGTGGATGGGTAAGTAAGTGGGTGGATGGATGGATGGGTGAGTGGATGGGTGGGTGGGTGAGTGGATGGATGGGTGGGTGAGTGAGTGAGTGAGTGGGTGAGTGAGTGGGTGGGTGAGTGAGTGAGTGAGTGGGTGAGTCGGTGGTTGCGTGGATGAGTTGATGAGTGGGTGAGTCAGTGAGTGGGTGAGTGGGTGAGTGAGTGGGTGGGTGAGTGTTCTTATGACCCGCAGTGTCGTGGATAAACACATTCTGCTCTGTGACCAGCACATGGCAGTGAAGCCATGGATTCTTGCACCTCTCCGAACGAAGCTTCGAATGCCGCACCCAGACGTGGGTCACGTCCTCGTCGCTGTGAATGTGAAATTAGAGATGAATAAAGTCATATGAATACAAATCGATGCATTGTTACATGAAGGCAAGTCCAGATATTGTTTAGCAAATCGCTGTTTTCATTTACATAGCATAGCAATTATTAGTTTAAAATCTTTTTATAGCATATTTGAATATTGCATCTGCCTCGTCGTCGTAAAAAACTATTTTTTGTTGTTGTTGTTACGTGTGCATCGTTTGTTGTTGTTACGTTCTGACCACGTGCTAAGCCCCACCCCTTCACTGGACGCGTGCGAAGCAAGAGCTTTATAGCTCATCGGATTCGTCCTGCAGCAGTATCAATAAAGATTCAGATTCTGAGTGAGCGAGTGACTGGGAGTGAATCAGGGATCTGAGTTCAGGTGAACGGTGACCGTGGCAGTCGAGGCGATAGTGGAGCGGTAAGGAGGGCGAGTGAGCGGTAAGGAGGGCGAGTGGGCGGTAAGGAGGGCGAGTGGGCGGTAAGGAGGGCGAGTGAGCGGTAAGGAGGGCGAGTGAGCGGTAAGGAGGGCGAGTGAGCGGTAAGGAGGGCGAGTGGGCGGTAAGGAGGGCGAGTGAGCGGTAAGGAGGGCGAGTGGGCGGTAAGGAGGGCGAGTGAGCGGTAAGGAGGGCGAGTGAGCGGTAAGGAGGGCGAGTGGGCGGTAAGGAGGGCGATGTGGGCGGTAAGGAGGGCGAGTGAGCGGTAAGGAGGGCGAGGTGAGCGGGTAAGGAGGGCGAAGTGAGCGGTAAGGAGGGCGAGTGAGCGGTAAGGAGGGCGAGTTGGGCGGTAAGGAGGGCGAGTGAGCGGTAAGGAGGGCGACGGTGAGCGGTAAGAGGGCGAGTGGGCGGTAAGGAGGGCGCGTCACTAGGGCGTGAGCGGTAAGGAGGGCGAATGTGAGCGGTAAGGAGGGCGAGTGAGCGGTAAGGAGGGCGAGTGGGCGGTAAGGAGGGCGAGTGAGCGGTAAGGAGGGCGAAGTGGGCGGTAAGGAGGGCGAGTGAGCGGTAGGAGGGCGAAGTGAGCGGTAAGGAGGGCGAGTGGGCGGTAAGGAGGGCGAGTGGGCGGTAAGGAGGGCAAGTGGGCGGTAAGGAGGGCGAGTGAGCGTAAGGAGGGCGAGTGAGCGGTAAGGAGGGCGAGTGGGCGGTAAGAAGGGCGAGTGAAGCGGTAAGGAGGGCGAGTGGGCGGTAAGGATGGGGCGACCGTGGTGGTAAGGAGGGCGAGTGAGCGGTAAGGAGGGTGAGTGAGCGGTAAGGAGGGCGAGTGAGCGGTAAGGAGGGCGAGTGGGCGGTAAGGAGGGCGAGTGAGCGGTAAGGAGGGCGAGTGAGCGGTAAGGAGGGCGAGTGGGCGGTAAGGAGGGCGAGTGGGCGGTAAGGAGGGCGAGTGGGTGGTAAGGAGGGCGAGTGGGCGGTAAGGAGGGCGAGTGAGCGGTAAGGAGGGCGAGTGAGCGGTAAGGAGGGCGAGTGAGCGGTAAGGAGGGCGAGTGAGCGGTAAGGAGGGCGAGTGAGCGGTAAGGAGGGCGAGTGAGCGGTAAGGAGGGCGAGTGGGCGGTAAGGAGGGCGAGTGGGCGGTAAGGAGGGCGAGTGAGCGGTAAGGAGGGCGAGTGGGCGGTAAGGAGGGCGAGTGAGCGGTAAGGAGGGCGAGTGAGCGGTAAGGAGGGCGAGTGGGCGAGTGACTGTGGAGTGAATCAGGGAGCGCTTCGCAATTATCAATCAACAGCGACAGGAGGGTGTCCCAGGGGAAAACCGGGACAGGTGGGAAACCGGACGTGGTCCATGCATCGGCCTCCTCGTCCTCGTCGCTGTGAGTGTGACATTGAAGAGTCCGGTCACCTCTCCCCTCCACTCTGGCAGGTGACAGGTGACACGTCACGTGGCTCCAGGGCAGGTGTGGGCAGGTAAAGCAGGTAAGGCGGGCGTGGCCAGGTAAGGCAGGTAAGGCGGGCGTGGGCAGGTAAGGCAGGGGTGGGCAGGTGAGTCTGATCCCGATCGATGTTGGTACCTCGAGCGGAGGCGCCGAGCGGAGCAGTTTGCGTGGGGGTGGCTGCGCTGAACTCGAGCCATAAAATCCTTCAACGCCATACAATCATGAAATCGTAAAATCCTACAACGCCATGAAATCCTATATAAAATCCCACTGCCATAAAATAAAAATCCTACAAGGTCATAAAATCAAATCCTACATAAAATCCGACACGTCACGAAATCATAAAATCCTAAATAAAACCCACAATGCCATAAAATAAAATCTTACATAAACTCTTACACGCCACGAAACCACCGATCAGAGATTTGCCACCCCCACCCCCCCCCCCCATATATGGCCATCGTGGATCGATAATCGTGCTTAATCGTGATCGATTCCCGCTCGCTCGATCCACCCTCAACAAACGTAAAAAAAAACAAATCCGCTACCGGGTTCGTCGTCAAATTTCGCGGATTAATCGCCGCGCGCTTCGATTCCTTTTCCCAATCGATCCGTGGATCGAGTCACGATGTCACGCCCCCCACACAAAGACAAAGGTTCCCCCCAACCCCCGTGTAGGCTCTAACAGTGTTGGGGGGCAAGTGCTTGTAGCCAGCAGTGCCAATGAAGGCCCGTGAGCTGGGATCCAACTTTTAGAGGCCGTCCATAAATGACGTCACGCACCTGGGGGGGAGGGGGTCAGACATTTGTGACGATGTGTGACGAGGGGGGGGGGGGGTGAGAAATGTGACGTCACATCAAAATGCGCAACTTTAAATAAATGTAGACAACACGTTCTACTTAATTAAATAGACTTTGTAATAAATGTTTTCTCCTACAACATCAGAGTGCAGCGCCACATTAAATACGCACTACGATGACAATAGTTTAAAGCGATTTGAAGCATGTTTTATTTTTTTTCGGGGGGGGGGGGCAGATCTTGTGACGTCATCTTTGAGGGGGGGGGTCTGACTTTTTGTAACGCCGTGTGACGATGGGGGGGGGGTCAAAAATCGTACAAAACCGCGTGACGTCATTTATGGACGGCCCCTAACCACTGCACCCACCGCTCCCATCAACTCCCCCCACCTCCTCCCCCCCCCCTTAGCAACCGTCGACCAATCGGCTCGCGGCTCGGATCCGCGTCCCGGTTGCTAGGGAGGCAATGTTGTCGGGAGCCGGGCCGCTCGCTGCGTGGACCGCGCCGCCGCCGAGAGGAGGAGGAGGAGACGGGGGGCGAGAGGCTCAGAGGAGGCTCAGAGGGGCCCAGAGAGAGAGGGGAGAGGGGGGCTGGGGGCGGGTGGGACCCCCACGGGGACGGCGAGGCGGAGTGGAGGGCGACGGCGAGATGAGCTCCCCCTTGGCTCAGCTCGGACGGACGCGCAGAGCTCCGCTTCCGGATGGAGGAGACCTCGGGTGAGTGGGTGAGTGGGTGGGTGAGTTGGGTGAGTGGGTGAGTGGGTGAGTGGGTGAGTGGGTGAGTGGGTGGGTGAGTGAGTGGGTGAGTGGGTGGGTGAGTGGGTGAGTGGGTGGGTGAGTGGGTGAGTGGGTGAGTGGGTGAGTGGGTGGGTGAGTGAGTGGGTGAGTGGGTGGGTGAGTGGGTGAGTGGGTGGGTGAGTGGGTGAGTGGGTGAGTGGGTGGGTGAGTGGGTGAGTGGGTGGGTGAGTGGGTGGGTGAGTGGGTGAGTGGGTGGGTGAGTGGGTGGGTGAGTGAGTGGGTGGGTGGGTGGGTGAGTGAGTGGGTGAGTGGGTGGTGAGTGAGTGAGTGGGTGGGTGGGTGAGTGGGTGAGTGAGTGAGTGAGTGGGTGATGGGTGGGTGAGTGGGTGAGTGGGTGGGGGGGTGAGTGGAGTGGGTGGTGAGTGGGTGAGGAGTGGGTGGGTGAGGTGAGTGGGTGGGTGAGTGAGTGGGTGAGTGGGTGGGTGGGGATGGAGTGGGTGAGTGGGTGGGTGGGTGGGTGATGAGTGGGAGTGGGTGGGTGAGTGGGTGAGTGGGTGGGTGGGTGAGTGGGTGGGTGAGTGGGTGGGTGAGTGGGGGGGGGTGGGTGAGTGGGTGAGTGGGTGGGATGGGGGTGGTGTGGGTGGGTGGGTGGGTGAGTGGGTGAGTGGGTGAGTGGGTGGGTGGGTGAGTGAGTGAGTGGGTGGGTGGGTGGGGGGGTGAGTGGGTGGGTGAGTGGGTGAGTGGGTGGGGTGAGTGGGTGGGTGAGTGGGTGGGTGGGTGGGTGGGTGAGTGAGTGGGTGAGTGGGTGGGGGGTGGGTGAGTGAGTGAGTGGGTGGGTGGGTGGGTGAGTGGGTGGGTGGGTGAGTGGGTGGGGGTAAGTGGGGGTGGGTGAGTGGGTGGGTGGGTGAGTGAGTGGGTGAGTGGGTGAGTGGGTGGGTGGGTGAGTGAGTGGGTGGGTGGGTGGGTGGGTGAGTGGGTGGGTGGGTGAGTGGGTGGGTGAGTGGGTGAGTGGGTGGGTGAGTGGGTGGGTGAGTGAGTGGGTGGGTGGGTGAGTGAGTGGGTGAGTGGGTGGGTGAGTGAGTGAGTGGGTGGGTGAGTGGGTGAGTGGGTGGGTGAGTGGGTGGGTGAGTGGGTGAGTGGGTGGGTGGGTGGGTGGGTGAGTGGGTGGGTGAGTGGGTGAGTGAGTGGGTGGGTGAGTGAGTGGGTGGGTGAGTGGGTGGGTGAGTGAGTGGGTGGGTGAGTGGGTGGGTGGGTGGGTGAGTGGGTGAGTGGGTGGGTGAGTGGGTGGGTGGGTGAGTGGGTGGGTGAGTGGGTGGGTGGGTGAGTGGGTGGGTGAGTGGGTGAGTGGGTGGGTGAGTGGGTGAGTGGGTGAGTGGGGTGGTGAGTGGGTGGGTGGGTGAGTGGGTGGGTGGGTGGGTGAGTGGGTGGGTGAGTGGGTGGGTGGGTGGGTGAGTGAGTGAGTGGGTGAGTGGGTGGGTGGGTGGGTGAGTGAGTGAGTGGGTGGGTGAGTGGGTGAGTGGGTGGGTGGGTGGGTGAGTGGGTGGGTGAGTGGGTGAGGTGAGGGGTGGGTGGGTGGGGTGAGTGAGTGAGTGGGTGGGTGAGTGGGTGAGTGGGTGGGTGGGTGAGTGGGTGGGTGAGTGGGTGGGTGAGTGGGTGGGTGGGTGGGTGAGTGGGTGAGTGGGTGGGTGAGTGGGTGAGTGGGTGATGGGGGGGGGGTGGGTGAGTGGGTGAGTGGGTGGGTGAGTGGGGGGTGAGTGGGTGGGTGGGTGGGTGAGTGAGTGAGTGGGTGAGTGGGTGGGTGGGTGGGTGGGTGAGTGAGGAGTGAGTGGGTGGGTGGGTGAGTGAGTGAGTGGGTGGGTGAGTGGGTGAGTGGGTGGGTGGGTGAGTGGGTGGGTGAGTGGGTGGGTGAGTGGGTGGGTGGGGTGAGTGGGTGAGTGGGTGGGTGGGTGGGTGAGTGAGTGGGTGAGTGGGTGGGTGGGTGGGTGGTGAGTGAGTGAGTGGGTGGGTGAGTGGGTGAGTGGGTGGGTGGGTGAGGTGGGTGGGTGAGTGGGGGGTGAGGGGTGGGTGGGTGGGTGAGTGGGTGAGTGGGTGGGTGAGTGGGTGAGTGGGTGGGGGTGGGTGAGTGAGGGGTGGGGGGTGGGTGAGTGGGTGAGTGGGTGGGTGAGTGGGTGGGTGAGTGGGTGGGTGGGTGGTGAGTGAGGGGTGGGTGGGTGGGTGAGTGAGTGAGGGGTGGTGTGGTGGGTGAGTGGGTGGGTGGGTAGGTGAGTGGGTGGGTGAGTGGGTGGGTGGGTGGGTGAGTGGGTGAGTGGGTGGGTGAGTGGGTGGGTGGGTGAGTGGGTGGGTGAGTGGGTGAGTGGGTGAGTGGGTGGGTGAGTGGGTGGGTAAGTGGGTGGGTGAGTGGGTGGGTGGGTGAGTGAGTGGGTGAGTGGGTGAGTGGGTGGGTGAGTGAGTGGGTGGGTGAGTGGGTGGGTGAGTGGGTGAGTGGGTGGGTGGGTGGGTGAGTGGGTGGGTGAGTGGGTGGGTGGGTGGGTGAGTGGGTGAGTGGGTGGGTGGGTGGGTGAGTGGGTGAGTGGGTGGGTGGGGGGGTGAGTGGGTGGGTGGGTGGGTGAGTGGGTGAGTGAGTGGGTGAGTGGGTGGGTGGGTGGGTGGGTGGGTGGGTGGGTGAGGGGTGGGTGGTGGTGGGGTGAGTGGGTTCGTGAGTGGGTGAGTGGGTGGGTGGGTGGGTGAGTGAGTGGGTGGGTGAGTGGGGGGTGGGTGGGGTGGGTGAGTGGGTGGGGTGGGTGGGTGGGTGAGTGGGTGAGTGGGTGGGTGAGTGGGTGAGTGGGTGGGTGGGTGGGTGAGTGGGTCAGTGGGTGGGTGAGTGGGTGGGTGAGTGGGTGAGGGTGGGTGGATGGGTGAGTGGGTGAGTGGGTGAGTGGGTGGGTGAGTGGGTGAGTGGGTGGGGTGGGTGGGTGAGTGGGTGAGTGGGTGAGTGAGTGGGTGAGTGGGTGGGTGGGTGGGGTGAGTGGGGTGAGTGGGTGGGGGGTGGGTGAGTGGGTGAGTGGGTGGGTGGTGTGAGTGGGTGAGTGGGTGGGTGAGTGGGTGGGTGGGTGGGTGAGTGGGTGAGTGGGTGGGTGGGTGAGTGGGTGGGTGGGTGAGTGGGTGAGTGGGTGGGTGTGGTGGGGTGAGTGGGTGAGTGGGTGGGTGGGTGGGTGAGTGGGTGAGTGGGTGGGTGGGTGGGTGAGTGGGTGAGTGGGTGGGTGAGTGGGTGAGTGGGTGGGTGGTGAGTGAGTGGGTGAGTAAGTGGCTGGGTGAGTGAGTGGGTGGGTGGGTGAGTGGGTGGGTGAGTGGGTGAGTGAGTGAGTGGGTGAGTGGGTGGGTGAGTGGGTGAGTGGGTGGGTGGGTGAGTGAGTGAGGGTGGGTGAGTGGGTGAGTGAGTGGGTGGGTGAGTGAGTGGGTGGGTGAGTGAATGGGTGAGTGGGTGAGTGAGTGGGTGGGTGAGTGAGTGGGTGGGTGGGTGAGTGAGTGGGTGAGTGGGTGAGTGGGTGGGTGAGTGAGTGAGTGGGTGGGTGGGTGAGTGGGTGGGTGAGTGGGTGAGTGAGTGAGTGGGTGAGTGGGTGGGTGAGTGGGTGAGTGGGTGAGTGGGTGGGTGAGTGGGTGGGTGAGTGGGTGAGTGTGTGAGTGGGTGGGTGAGTGGGTGAGTGGGTGGGTGAGTGAGTGAGTGGGTGAGTGGGTGGGTGAGTGGGTGAGTGGGTGAGTGAGTGGGTGAGTGGGTGAGTGAGTGGGTGAGTGGGTGGGTGAGTGGGTGAGTGAGTGGGTGAGTGGGTGGGTGAGTGAGTGGGTGAGTGGGTGAGTGAGTGGGTGAGTGAGTGGGTGAGTGGGTGGGTGAGTGGGTGAGTGGGTGGGTGAGTGGGTGAGTGAGTGAGTGAGTGGGTGAGTGGGTGAGTGGGTAGGTGAGTGGGTGAGTGAGTGCGTGGGTGAGTGGGTGAGTGGGTGAGTGGGTGGGTGAGTGGGTGAGTGAGTGGGTGAGTAGGTGAGTGAGTGAGTGGGTGGGTGGGTGAGTGGGTGAGTGGGTGGGTGAGTGGGTGAGTGAGTGGGTGAGTGAATGGGTGGGTGAGTGGGTGGGTGAGTGGGTGAGTGGGTGGGTGGGTGGGTGAGTGGGTGGGTGGGTGAGTGAGTGGGTGGGTGGGTGGGTGAGTGAGTGGGTGGATGGGTGGGTGGGTGAGTGGGTGAGTGAGTGAGTGGGTGTGTGAGTGGGTGAGTGTGTGGGTGAGTGAGTGGGTGAGTGGATGGGTGAGTGGGTGGGTGAGTGGGTGAGTGATTGAGTGGGTGAGTGGGTGAGTGGGTGGGTGAGTGGGTGGGTGAGTTGGTGAGTGAATGATTGAGTGGGTGAGTGTGTGGGTGAGTGGGTGAGTGAGTGAGGAGGTGAGTGAGTGGGTGAGTGAGTAGGTGAGTGGGTGAGTGAGTGAGTAGGTGAGTGGGTGAGTGAGTGAGTAGGTTAGTGGGTGAGTGAGTGGGTGAGTGAGGAGGTGAGGAGGAGGTGAGTGGGTGAGTGATTGGGTGAGTGAGGAGGTGAGTAGGTGAGTGGGTGGGTGAGTGAGTAGGTGAGTGGGTGAGTGAGAAGGTGAGTGGGTGAGTGTATGAGTGGGCAAGTGGGTGAATGAGTGGGTGAGTGAGTGAGTGCTCGTCCAGATGCTGCGTTTTTTAGATTATTTCTGCTGCTGCTATAAATATACCACGCGTATACAGGAAGTCGTGGGTTCGATCCCCACCCTGACGACTGCTGCTGTGTATTTGGAGTTTGCGTGTCTCTCTCATCATCATCATCACGGTGGCTAGGAGATGTTAACTACCTCGCCTGGTATACAGGAGGTCGTGGGTTCGATCCCCACCCTGACGCCTGCTGCTGTGTATTTGGAGTTTGCGTGTCTCTCATCATCATCATCAGCATCACGGTGGCTAGGAGATGTTAACTACCTCGCCTGGTATACAGGAGGTCG